GGTCCGAGCGAGCGGAACCCTTGGGCCAGCGCACGTGTCGAGAACGCGCGTTTTGAGCAGTGGTCAATCGAATGTTCTCGAAGATATGACAAGGGCTCGTTTTCGCATGGCCAACTCTTACATTCACGCGATTCTACTTCCCAGCTTCGTCATCATCAAGGACTGGAAAAAGAACCAATGAAGACAATTATCTGCTCGCTCAAAGTCTGGACCTGGAGAGCGGTGGTCTGAATGCTGGCTCAAAGTCTGTACTGCCGCTTGAGTCATAGTGTCCAGGTATCACCTCTTAGCATACATGGTCAGGAACGCATCCTTCTCTGTCCATCCAAGAGCGGTCCTCCTGAGCCTCGAGCTGCGCGGCCCACGTCGAAGGGGCGTGTACGTATCAGCTTTTGACCTGTGCACTCGCCGCCTGCTACATTTCTGTACTGGCGCTAAGGAGGCAGTTACTCACAGATTAGACCACGTATCAGCTACTACGTCTTCGATTCCTCGTCTGAGGGCATTTGCAGCCGGACCTGCTCTCGGATCAGAAAGGCTGCTACTGGACGATCCGGTGATGCTCTCCGCCGGATTCAGTATGCGTATGCTGGGAGCATATGCTGGTACGCTGCTTAGCAGGGCCAAGAAGAGAGAAGGTAGAGATCGTGGGACCGTCGTGATTGGTGAAGCGGAGAGAGGCGTTGGTGCTTCGTACCTGCGTATCGAGAATTTCGTACGTTAGGTGAAGGGAAGAGATGCCATTGTCATGAGCTACGACTCACTTAATGGTGGTGATGAAAAATGTTGGCCCGTCTTTGAGCGATCTCAGGCTGCCGGTACTGGTGTAGGTGTCTGCCCAGCTCGATGGGAAAGCAGCAGCAGCAGGCTTGAGCAAAGCGCGATTATTGGACGTGACAATCTGGATGGATGCAAACCGTGCCTTCAGAGGCGTTGCCTGAGAGAGCTACGATCGTAGAGGAGACCTACCTCTGGGAAAACGATTAGAGGTGAGCCCACTTTCTTGAGGCTGTCTAGGTCCACTAGGTCCGCCCGTGTTACGCCTTCCGAGCCCAGCTCAAGCGGCCTACAGCTCGCAATCACCTTCAAAGCTTGCCATATGCTATCGCTCACTTTCCAGCCCTCTACCCTGCGCGCCTGGGGAGTTTCATCGGTGTTGCCTTCCATAGATCCGCGGAGGCTCTCCGGCAGATAGGACGAAGGACCTCTCCGCCTTTGAGCCGCCGAGCGAGACGAGGTTGTGGACGCCTTGCCCCTGGGGTCCGGAGATTCTCGGGGACTGGGCGAGAGGACCGGCAGGAGGACTCTGGCTTGAGGAAAAATCCGCAAGAGGAGCAAGATGTCCAAAGGCGAGGAGTGGCTGGACAAGATCAGGTCGCCCGCTTTGGGCGACCCGAGAGCTACTTGCGCTGCTCGGCTGCCAGAGAGCGCATGTGTGCGCAATGATCAGCAGCTTTGCTAACTGTCATCAATCCAAGCTCTGCGCAGGAGTGCAGACTCACTTTCTGCTGTTAGGCGATACTACCTGCTTCTCGGGGAAGATGCCAAGTAGCGCGAGCACCAAGTTGAGGAAGGCTCCCCTTACAGCGGTGCCGAGCGCAAGCTCGAAAAGAGACCAAAGTGTGATGACTAGAACTAGCGAAAGACCTCTGATGACAGCCAGGAGCAGCAAAGGCAAGCTGAGTAGGGCTGTCAGCGGCGATGAAGATCCGGTGGGCTTGTAGTTGAAAGTGGGGAGGATAAGTCAGCTCTCACGCATGGCATCGCCAACATTTGACTGCACATCGACTCACAGCTACAGGGGGCAGAAAGACCTGCACAGAAACCCATACATCAGCACCTCTCGTCTCTTATAAAGATCAAGCATCGAGCAGCTAGCGTTGACTCACCTGTATGCCAGTGCCCGCATCTCTAAACCTTGAAAATTTTTCCATGCTTCGCCAGATGAGAGAGGGGGCAAAAGGTCTATGTCTGCGAATGTGTAGAATATCGAGGCTGCCGTTTACGGAGGGGCTAGTCGTGATTGCCGATGACCAGATGGTGTGATGGATGGAGTGAGAGCCCTAAGACTCGGATATGGAGGAGTTGGTGTCCGCCGCGACCTTTCTTCGAGTCTGGTCCGTGCGAAACAGCAGCGATCCTGACGCGCGCGCATGGAGATTTCGAGCCTGTACAAAGTCGCCGAGGCGTATGCGCGTGATCCTGATGCACGCTGTGAGTGAATTCTAGCTGATGCGGTATAATAGACCCTACACAGCCCACCAACAGCCTGAATTCGTGATTCTTTATTGCAAAGGGGGTCGGGTCTCGTCGTCTCCATGTCCAGCATACGCCGTACCTTGCACCTCAACTGAGCACCTGTTTGCATAGCCATTGACCAGTCAGTCGTCAGTCGCTTCTTTCGACCTCAGCAGTGCGCACGACCGAATCCTTGGCGTCATCGCCAGGCTCAAGACCACAGTTCGACTCCGGCTGGGAAGCAGACACGGACGCTGCCTCTCTCAATTTCGTTGCGACACCGACATCCAGTTTGGCGCCAAGGTGGTGTTCGACAAGTTCGCAGCTTGCCGAACCGAGGTGCGGGTGTGCTCCAATTTCCTAGGCGCGTCTGAGCTCGCTCGCTCACTCAAGCGCAAAGACACTCGAGTCCCCTTTGGCTGACTTCACCGAGCATTGCAGCGTGCGAGGCTTGACAATCGTGGGCTTTACAGCGTTGCTGCGGAATCCTCCCGCGGCTGTTTCTCGCTCGCATCTTCGACTACTCCCATCGATCGCCCTCTGTTCACAGCACCAGCCTCAGTCCGACGCGACTTCACTTGACTGTCCAGCATGGTGTCTCACAACGCGAACGCGCAATCCGAGTCCGGATCGAGGGACCGGCTAGCCACCAACTCTCGCCTGATTGTAGTGTCCAACCGCTTACCAGTGACCATCAAAGTGGATTCTTCTCAGCCCGGTGGCTACTCCTTTGCGCTCTCTTCAGGTGGTCTAGTCTCGGCTCTGTCGGGAGCAAAAAAGCGCATGTCGTTTACGTGGATAGGATGGCCCGGACTGTCCGTTCCCACTCGAGAGGATGAGCTCTTCATAGAGTCCAAATTGGAGAAGGAGTACAGCTGCAGACCGGTCTGGCTAGATCCCGACGTGGCCGACGCACATTACAATGGCTTCTCCAACAGCATCCTTTGGCCACTGTTTCACTACCATCCAGGAGAGATGAACTTCGACGAAGGCAACTGGCTGGCGTACAGAGAAGCCAACTTGAGATTTGCGGAGAGTGTCAGGGAGATTGTCAGGAAGGGAGACATGGTCTGGGTGCAGGTGAGTTGTATCGAAGTGCTTTGCCACATGCGCAACTCCACCAAAAACTCACACTGATCGGATCACGCCACCGTCGCTGCGCACGCCAAGGACTACCACCTCATGCTTCTTCCACTGATGCTACGCACGTTGATCGAGGGCTCATCAGCACAAGGCAGCGTCTCTCAGCGAGAGTTAGAGCACGTACGGCACGGCGTTGATGGATCGTCTCACTTAGCGCATTCGTCGGGCCTTGCAGCTCC